TTTTGGAAAAGATGACATCTTCTCTCAAATCAATAGATTGAATGATGCATTCCTTTTTTGTCCTATTCTGTTACTCTCTTGATTTTAAAATTTATGTATATTATAAGTATATCTGTAGGGAGGATGATAAAACAACTAAGGGATATAATTATGTGTGTAGGAAGAAATATGGCATAGACATGTGGAATGCCACAAAAGATAGAAAAGTGAAGAATGAGAAAATACTTCATTGCATTTAGAGCCTTTGGTGTACAAACAATTTGGTTTGGGTTGTCACACTTTTGTGTCTGGCCTACATAGGCCAGATAAAGGTATAAACTATTTCTTTATGGTTATGAATACCTTCATAATTTTTTTGATTGTTTTTCTTTTTTCATCAGAAATATTTAACTCTCTATCAGCATTCACAGATAGATTTTTAGAAAATCACAGACATCATGTGCTGAATGCGCATCAGGATAAACAAAAGCAAGATATTTTCAAAAAGATTGCTGTGCCTGATACCATTATCACTTAAAAAGAAAATAAAAATCAGGGGAAAAAATGCAGAGTGTCAACCCACTTTTCTTCCTTTGTTTCTGCTGCTGATTGTTTCCTTTCAGTATCTTGCCACTTCATCCTGGATCACGTGCATTACTGTTCTCATCCAAATGCTGTGCAAAGCCAGAGGCAATACAAGGGAAATGGCAGAGGTCCATCTTTTAATTTTTTGCTTTTGCCTTCATGGAACAGCATCATCATGATACAGCCTGCAGTAAGGAGATGAGCAGCGCACTTAGAACCCTCTTGGGTCAGTGTCCCACTGGCTGGGGACTGGCATCTCAGGAGTCAGTCCCAGGAAATGGTTTCCCACCACTGAAAACAATGATGTCTTGAATGAAGTGTGATCTGATCAGCTTGGGATAATGCAGTCACGAACACAAAAGAAAGATGGAAATGCAAGAAAATGTTTTTTATTGCAGCTACCATAGCTCTGATGGTAAAGTTATCTTGCAAGTGAGCACATTATTTAGACATTCCCTAGGATCAGTAATCTTGAGCAGAAGTTTGCCTGCAGCTTCAGTGATCCTCCTGTGATCCTGATGATAAGCTACAGATTAGTGAGAACTGAGCTTTTGCTCTTCCTGGGTGACAGGTTCATTTGATATTATCTTGTGAAACCTACTTACATTTTGTATTTCTTATTCCCCTTTCTATCAAAATTATTAAAATTCTTTAGTTCATCACTGTAGCATTGTGAGACTAAGACTGAAGATCTGAGGTATTTGAATAAGATATCCACATAAGAAAGATCCTAAGATATGACACTAGAAAAATATATCCAGCCATTAAAATGCAAAAAGTGAGAAGTTTCTGTTTCAGTAGAAGTGCACATGAAAATGGGAGATGTGTCCACATTCAGAAAAAACATCAAACCATAGCCTGAGGTTATGGCAGTCTATCCTCAGCCACACTTTCTAGAAGAAGTGGGAAAAGGTTATGTATATGTGGATACTTCATTAAAGACATACTCATGAAAAAAATTTAGAAGACCTTTTGTTGTCTTTTAAAACTTGGACAGAAGGTGAAATCTCACCTTTACAGACAATAATCAAAGCTTTTCATTATTTAAAAAAAAAAAAGCAGGAACTAAACCTTCGGAGGTAAAACTGTGAGGTTAATAGGCGTTATCTCCATGAAAGCACGTGCTTCTGCAGTTCTGTACGTTCAGGGTCAAATCTGATGTTTGAAAGATATACAAAGGAGATAAATAAAGTCATCTATTTCAAGTCTAAGTAAGAAGAATTTAATTTCTAAGTCTGAAGAATGCTTTGGAGGATCAGGTGAAAGGTTGAAGTTATCTTCTGATTTGCCACACTAATATGAATAAGACAGAGAGTTAAAAATTATCATAATGTCCAGCTGCACTTTCTCTCTAGTGTTAATAGGGCCACTGATCCTTAGAATAATTGAACTGGACTTCAGAGAAATCAGAAATATTGCCATTTGGGTCAGTAGCAGTACTCTTACCTTTTATTCTGAATGTCACAATGTTTATAAATCAGCATCTGTGAGGTCTTGCCTCATGTGGAAATGTGAGGTAATGCAGTTATTTGAAAATGGATAAAAAACTGTGGGAAATCAGCTTCTTTATGTGAGATAGTCATAGCTTTATGCTAGCAAGCAGAGATTTCTGGCATTACAAAAAGATTATTTATTTCATCTGACATGCCCTAGTGAGGATTCAGTAATATGCAGGGTTGACACACACCCCAGATATTTGGGAAAGCATGGTGGAAGGCAAGATCCATGAGAGATCAGAGTACATATTTGCTCAATGAATGGCAGGTGTGATCCCAATAAAACTGCATTTACAAAGGCACCCCTTAGAAAGAAAATTTGCTTCAGACACATGTTTTTAGTTCTTTGTGGAAAGCAGGCAGGACATGAGAATAGCTGTGAATGGATCTTCCCTGTGTGATTTTGTTTTGAATTAACACTGCTTTTCTCTCTGTATTCAGCCAGCCACAGCAGGTGGGGAATTTGGTTCCTTTTATTTAGCTCAGGACTGAAAAACTAGAATTAATTTTTTTTGGGAAATTTTGCTGCAGAGAAGACTTCATTGGTTAAAGATAAAACATCAAGAGAGAGGGCAGAATGCCATTGTGTAAGATCTATAAATACACATTGGGTTTATATATATATCACAAATGCAATTAGACTAGGAAGTGCTGTGCTACTGTTATCTTCATGGAACAAATGTTACTAAAAATTTCTCTGATGTATCCCCTATCAGATGCCACAGCACCTATTTTTCCAAAGCACAAAACTGGCTTTAAAAGCTGTTTCAATAACTTTAATTTTCTGGTGAACGTCCTTAGCTATAACTACAGCTTGCAGTGGCTTCTATCAAAAATGAAATTAATCCATCCAGGGAGGATGGATGGGTTTTTCTTGATGTGAAAAGGTGTGAAAAACAGTTTTGAGAAAATTAGTTTAACAAAATCTTCATTTGGTTTGACAGGCTCCCAATACTATTTGTTTTCCAATGATCTTCAGAGGTCTTCTGTGCCTGTACAGGTCCTGTTTCTGTTTCATTCTGTGAGGAAGCAGTTACCAATAACCTGCTTTTGAAACACAGCCATCACATCACATCATGTGATGTGTTATACACCAGCTTCTGACCTACTCTTAGCTTGATCTCTTAGGATCCACCCCAACCACCTCTGTGATGAGCTGCCTTATCACAATGGCAATAGTCTGAAAACTAATATGACTCACTGTACTAAATAATCCCTGAGAACGCATCAGACATAATATACCAAGGCATTTTAGGTGCATTAAGAACACACTGAGCCCTTAGTGAAACAAATTAAATCGACTGAATTGGATTACTATGAATGGGAGATAAAATCTTAACTTGCTAAACCTAAAATGGGTGATCCAGCGTCAAACAATTAGAGCAATTGATGGCAATATTATGTAAATAGGGTATCAAAGATAGACTGCTGGAACAGTCCATGCAGCTTAGCATTCTAGTACAGCATGGAGTGGCTTTGTTTTATTCCAATCCAAGGAATCAAAAAGGCACGGAAAAATAAATCAAAATAAAATATTCAGCAAAATAGGCTGCTAAAGAGAAGAGAAGAGTGCTATGAGAACAACAAAAATAAAAAAGTTTCTCTTGCAAATCAGCACTTCTGGTTTTGATACACTTAATTTTCCCAAGGATTTAACCTGTACCAAACAGAATATATTTGTGCACTCTAATAACATGTAATATTTTATGTAGATAATACTTCTTTTTGTTTTTTCTCATAAATTCCATCTTTGAGGAATGTTACAGACTTCAGTGGATATTTTTGATTATTTCCTTATTTGCTGCATATTCCCTGAAAAAGCATGTCTTTCTTGATCTGGGTGGGAAACAGTTGTAATGTCCATAAACTGGGATTTTCAAGGACTCTTAAACTGTTCCTAATCCTTATTCCTTTAAACTGAGTGGTAAAATTTTCTCTACTGTTAGCAAAAACATAATTAAGACAATATTGTGTGGAAGTTTTCTCTTATATATTTTTTTCTTTTGATTTACCTATTTCTCATTTGTCTCAGATTCTACCATTTTTGGCTTAGAAATAGTTTGAATAATAATAATAACAAAGGCATCTGATTATAGACAAGTAAAATAACACTTTCATTTCATGAAAATACAGTAAAATAAATCTTCCACATAATGGGGTGTTTCTCTTATTTAAGGTTGTTTTCTATGTAGTCAAATATGGATTTGTGTGACATGTCATAAAGAAAATATTTTTTTACTAATGCATGGCACTCTGTTGCTATATGAATTCCATCTGTAGAACAAGTAAAACTAAAATCCTTGCCTGTAGTGGCTGTTCTAGTCACTTGACTGACAGATTGAAACTTCACTTTCAGAGGGACAGTGTCAGTTACTTACAGGCATTTTTTTCTGTTTCTGCTTGAAAAATAATTTATACAAATTTCAGAGTTATCCAAAGGTCCCTCTCTGGGGACAGGGCTTGCAGTAGGATTGGTCCAATTGGTTCAGATCAGTAAATGAACAAAACTCTGCTGCAGTGAACATTTGTGCAGCTTAAGGAGAGCCTGAAAGCACCAGCCCAAAGTGACCAATAGGGCCAAAATGAAGGGTTTAGACTACCCTGGTAAAAGAATTGCAAGATCTATTAGTATTTTAGACACTCAAGGCAAATATATCCTCCAAATTCTTCTATCATGTTTGCTATCTTGAAATTATTGTTATTTATAAAAGATCTTGGGTTTATCCTTTTGCTGTAGTGGGATATTTCTGAAATCTCTTTTATTACTTCTTGCAGAGGAAAAAGAAAATTATTTCTTCCCACTTCTGCACCAGAACATATTCCTTTATTTTTCAACTGTCCTTTCATCAGCTGTTTCCTGATACTTGATTCCATATTAAAAGAGAGTTGAATTCGATCTCTTCTGCTGGTGACATTCTGCTCTATGCTTTGTTTATTTAGCCTAGAGCACCACAATCAGTACTTTCACCTATGTGATGTACGCAGCAGACAACCACTTCTGTGATGAACCGAGTAAACAACAAGTTCCTGGGAAGACAACTGCAGGATTTTTCTGGACTGTTTTGATCACTTTGCAGCTGCTTCATTTCTTTGAGCTAAAGTTTTCCATTACAGGATTTATTTGACAAATAAGAAATAAATTTAGTAACATGATATTATAAGATAATAGTTTTTCTGGGGCCTGTGAAGAAGCATATACCTTTCAGTGACCTTTTTATCATAAAACATTTTCTGTTGGTGCAGTGAGATTTCAATGGGCTGGGCTTGACATACCCTTAAGGTTTGAACACTGCAATTTCTGCATGTGACAGCATATGAAATTTAACCTGGGCATACTTTAGAGTTGAGCAGAGGGAAAGTTAATGCAGTTCAACAAAGGCAAATTCAGGGTTCTGCACCTGGAGAAGAATAACCCCATGAACCAGCACAGGCTGGGGCTGACCTGCTGGAGAGCAGCTCTGCAGAGAAGGACCTGGGAGTCCTGGTGGACAATGAGCTGTCCATGAGCCAGCAGCGTCCCCGTGGCCAAGAAGGTCAGTGGGATCCTGGGGTGCATCAGGAAGAGCAGTGCCAGCAGGTCAGGGGAGGTGATCCTGGCCCTCTGCTCATCCATGGTGAGGCACACCTGGAGTGCTGTGTCCAGGGCTGGGCTCCTCAGGACAAGAGAGACAGAGTTCCTGGAGCACGTCTAGCAGAGAGCAACAAAGATGATGAAGGGACTGGAGCATCTCAGTTATGAGGACAGGCTGAGGGAGCTGGGCCTGCTCAGCCTCAAGAAGAGATGAAAGGGACCTCATCAATGTATACAAGTATCCAAAGGGTGGGTGCAGCGAGGATGGACCAGGCTCTCCTCAGTAGTACCAAGCAGTTGGGACAAGAGGGAATGGGTAGAAACTGACGCACAGAAATTCCATCTGAACACAAGGAAGAACTTTTTTACTCTGTGGGTGACTAAGCACTGGAACAGATTGCCAAGAGAGGTTGTGGAGTCTCCCTCACTGGAGATAATCAATAGTCATCTGGACACAATCCTGTGCCTCGTGCTCTATGATGGCCCTGCTTGAGCAGGGAGGTTGGAGCAAACAACCCACTGTGGTCCCATCCAGCCTGACCCATTCTGTGGTTCTGTGAGCTCACTTGTCCAACACCTGTATTGATCAGGAGAACCAACAGGTCCTGAACTGTAACTACCAACGTCTCTCCCAGCATTATTTTTTTCAAGCTGGAGACAAAATTAAATGAAAAGGTTGAAGATAAACTAGCAAGGAAAGCAAACTAAATGGAATGCATAGTGTTATAAGAACATATGCAGGCACATTTCAAGTCTTCTATTATTAAAAATATTATTATATGTAGAAACAGACACCCCTTATAATACACAGTTCACAGGACAGAACAGATGTATTTTCTGGCCCCTGCACCTGGAAAAGGAAATTCATATTCAACATCATTAGCACTTTTCTGCAGGCTTTTCACATCATTTGTGCCAGAAAAAAACCTCAAAACCCCCAAACAAACAAACAAACAAACACAAACCAACCAACCAAACACCCCAAAACCAACAGCACAAAACCACCTCCACCACCAAAAAAAAACTGGGATAAAATAATATCCTGGGTTGTTGTTTTTTTTTTTTTATTGTAAACTTCACTAGCCTCACTCAGAAGAGTTAAATGTAAAGCATGGTAGAAAATATTTTCAAAGACTAGGATTTTTTCTCTTGCAGTGAGTATTTAGAAGAAGTGAGAGAGACCTAACAGCGACAAAATTTGCCATCAATGGAGAATTTTTCTTGCAGACATCTCTGATCCTTATTTCTGACTGACTGACTGCTCTGCACTCCCAAAAATCATTTTCTGTGACCGCCACTCAAAAGCTAGAGAATTAATTTCAAATGTTAGGATTAAATATATCTCTCACAATGCATCAAACTACATTTTCTTTCCTTCTTGGAGTGATTTTTAATATTGTGCCTGCAATTTAGCAAATATAGACTGGGTATGCCTCTATACACATTTAAGTACTATTCCCTTCATCAGAAAGCTGTAAAGTGTTCCATCTAAAAGCTTCTATCAGAATGAAAAACATTAATTTATTCACCTTCAAAAATTCTATCTTTTTTCATTACTAATAATGCATTATTACAGGTGGTGGTCACCTTGGATGGAGATATTTTGCAGCCTTCTTTTGTAACAGTTTTGTAATGGTTTCATCGACCAGAGAGACTGCTTCTTGATTCTGAGATGCTTTCCTTAATATGCTAGCAACAGCAATCTATCCCTCTAGAGGTTATGGGAAACTTTTGACATCAATTTGCTCTATTCCTGTTTCTGCAAACTGTGAAAATCCTGTGTCTGAATAAAATGCTAAAGTAGTGTTTGTGATGCTGCATCCACATACTCTGCCATCATTTTATAAATGTGACAGCTAAATTATTCAATTTATTGTAAACATATGGTTCTAAATTTTCACAAAGCAGTTTTCATTCTCAAGAAAATGGGCAGACCTACTCACTGGTATCTGACAAACAACAGAGGAAGAAATTCAAGCAGCTATGGAATAGTGTGTAAAAGTAATATGTCTTGCTCCTAATCTGCCTCTTCATTAAGATATTGCTATTTTCAATAATTTACTTAGTAGTACTACAAGCATTCTTTTGTAATTTGCCTTCTTTCAAGAGATAGAATATCTGCACACATTGATTTTCTAGAGTTTTCCAGTTCCACAGCAGACCCACATTTCTGATCTCAGCAGACAGAATATCTACACAGCAGATGTTTCAGCATTTTTGACATTTCAAGAAAAAATATTTTGATTCTGTAACACACACCACCTCTTTCCAAACCTGTATTAGGCAAAATCAATCCCTTCTTTGAGAGGAAAGCCTCAGAGCTCTTGTGGTGGGTTGACCTTTGCTGGTTGCCAGGGGCCCACCAAACCAATCCCTTGTTCCCCCTCCTCAACAGAACAAGGGGAGAAAATTAGGGCTGGGATAACAACACAGACATCATCCACTAATTATCATGAAAGGCAAAGCAGACTCAGCTTGGAAAAGATTAAATTAATCTACTGCCAATTACAAACAGAAAATGATACTCAGGAAAAAAAGAACAAACAAAAAAAACCCCAACCCTCAACCAACCAACGAAAAAAACAACCAACCAACCAACCGAAAAAAAAACCTCAGCCCAAAACTAAACAAACTAAACTAACACAAAAAAACCCTACAACCCAAAGCCCAGAAAAAACCCTTCTACTTCCCCTTCTTCCCAGGTTCAACTTCACTCATTATTTCTGACACTTCCAGCTCTTCCCCACCATTGCTGCTTCCTTCAGGCATCTCCACCTGTTCTGGTGTTTTCTGGGGAACGGATTCTCTCTCATTCAATTTTTATTAATATATGCAATTTTGGAATTTGCTTCCAGAAAAGCATTCGATTCCAAACACCAAAAAAAAAAAAAAAAAAAAGGACTTTTGTGTTTTTAAGTGCTTGTGCTTTAAATTGAATAGAATAGGGGATGTAACTATAACTATATATACAATATATAGTTATATAACTGTTTTTAAGTGCTTGTGCTTTAAATTCAATAGAATAGAATAGGGGATGTAACTATAACTATATATACAATATATAGTTATATAATGCATATTTTATTATATACAATATATGTCTTCTTCATTCACCTCTTTACGCTTACTTTTGTTGCAGACCTGACACAAATCTTTTTCATTTGTTTTTCTCACAGTTCCTTCTTCATTAATCTTCTCAATAACAGCTTTGATCTTTCAACCCAATGTGTGTTCATATGTTTTTTTAACTAAGGTATTTTCAGAATTTGTATTACAAACAACTCCTTTCTTCCTGGTTTTTTTTTTCACCATGTAAGTATTTCAAAGGTACCACCCAATTTAGCTTTACAGAATACCTGTGAGTTTAGATTGTAGAATCAACTTCATTTCATAATTGAAGACCAAAACTGCCCAAAGCCTATGCTAAATCTATTTTCATCTATTGTGAATGCTTTGAGTTTGAAAGTAGATATCAGGGATCCTCTTTTTCAGCTACTTGACCAATTCACTTAGTTTAATAGAAAAACAAGTGAACTGTACCCTTGGAATTCAGAGCAATGTCTGTAAGCAACCTCAGAAGAGATCACACAAAGCAAAGCCTTTCCCTTCCCTTCCATGTGCTTAGTGCCTCAAGCATCCAGACATTTCTCTGCAGACTGTGGCTCAGTATATTTCAGTCAACATCTTCTTCTCCAGACTCTGAGCTCTGCAAGCCCATCTTTGAATCTGTGTTATCTCCAGAATGACACTATTTCCTTCTATATATTCCTCTGCTGTTTCCTTGCAACACTTTGTCTTCAGATCTCTGTTTTCCTCCTCATCAGTCTTGTCCTATGGTATTAGGCTGTTCAGTACAGCTAAGCCCTGATGCATTTATACAGGTTTTACGAAAAAGTTTGGACAGGAATGATTATGAGTTTGGGAGTCAAGAGGTTACAAGGCAAACTGAAATATGCAATTACAACATATTTGAGGACATGCTAGGCAAAATGTACTTCCTGCAGTACTTTCAAGTCAAAAAGCTTTTCACCACATGCTCCCATGTCATGCTCACTTCACAGCATCAGAGCTGGAATTCTTCCTTTATTTTGCTTACTTCCAACTCAGGTACAGATGGAGTTCCTGCTTTAATTCTACTTGGATGACTTTTCTGTGACATTAATACCTCTGCTATTCATTATCCTTTCCAAGTTTCATTTACTGCCCCTATTCAGAAAGGGAATATTGCCATTTCAATGTAAGTTTCCTCTTCTCTGTGATAATCAATACACAACTTTAAAATCTTGTAATGTCCCATATATCATGAAAAGAATGTGAAAATGTTGTACATCAGCTAATTTAAATCTAAAATCTCCAATACATCCCATGTTTCTTATCAAAACCAATTTCAGATGTAAAAATAAAACTTTATCCAGACAAGCCACGGAAAACTTCATCCTCTCTGATCTCTTCCCCTCACTCTTCAGACACATATTTTTGGACATGATTAATGGAA